TCTGAAGGTTTGTTGCCTGGGTACAGGGGCTGAGACCAAGGAGCTAGAACATGAAACTGGTATAAAACATTGGTCCCACATTCCCCGAGAACAGCCCACCCCTGTCTCCCACCATATCTCCCCATGCCCATCACCACCATAATACTTTGGCCCGCTGGCATCCCCCAAAGGTTACATCATCCCTCAATTCAGCCCCCTCAATTCCCAAGGCCAGGGACCTCCCATAAAACTCAATCCCCTCCATCCCAGGGAGAGGAGGCCAAGCACACAGAGGCACTTCAGCTTCTTTGTCTCTCAGTGCCATCAGGGTACCCAGCGCCCACCTCCCCCACTCCACCCACAAGCACACCCACAAACATATACAGATGCACTCACACAACCCCCCCTCTCACCAGCTGGTTAAGGGCTCCCTTTTCACCCTAAAAACAAAAGATGTTGATAGCACCAGTGGTGCAAACAATTCCAGTGAGGAAAAAAATGGAAAGCAAAAGAAGGCAATGTAAGGTTTGCCCCGTTCGACAGAGAAACTCCCGTGACACGTGTGGTTCACAAAAGAGGTTTACTCATACGTAACGTAGCAGTCACAAGCAAAGCCAGGACTGGCTTGGTACAATTGCATCACTCGTTATATTCCCCCCTTCCCGCGCTTTTTTTCCGCCCCGCGATAGCGTTACCGCTGCGGCTTATCGGCCCCCCAATAATCCCTCTTGATTGTCCATGATGGCAGGTTCGGTCAGGGTCCATTGTCCTTGATTGGCAGTCCCCTCCGGCTTGGGTTGGTCCCTCCCCGTTACGTGCAAGCCCGAGGGTTCTGTGCTGCGCGGCGATCTTGTTTCGCTGCCTGCAGCCCCGTTCATTGTTGGCTCGCGCCGTTATCAGTGTATAGTTAAAGCTTCCGCTGCGGTTTTCCTGTTTGGCTGGGCGCAGGTGGCCCATTAATTAGCGGCGCTTTCAGTTCCTCTTTTCCTCGCTAGCTACCGCCGGTGGAGTTCGCGTGGTCTGGCTGCGAGCTTCCCCGAAGCCCCGTGCTGACCGAACCTGACAGGCAATGGGACTACATATAAAACCTAATCAAGATCTCAGCAGAAAAAAACAAGATGCAAGTTGGAGATGGAGTGCCAGATTGCTGATGAAAACTACACACAGCTAGTCCAAAACTTTGGCAATATTAGGAAACTGAAAGCTCAGAATTTATTTATTTGATTAGATTTATATCCCACCTTTTGTACAGGAGCTGAAAGCAGCAGTGAACACAGTGTTTCCTCATCCTAGCTGATCTCACAATAGCAACCTTGTGAGGTACCTCAGGCTGAGAGTGAATGACTGGTCCAAAGTTACCCACTGAGCTTCGGGGGGGACTAGAATCTGGATCTTTCTGCTCCAAGTTCAACACCTTAATCACTGTATCACACTGGCTCTGAGATCAGTTTACAAAAAGATGTTAAGAGTAACAAAAACAGTATAATCAAATCTATTCAAAATAAGAGTAATTTAAGAATCAATATACCAGGTGCTTGCTAAAGATACAAATTCCTCACAAGTAACTAGGGAATCTCAAATTCTAATGTTGCGGAAACAGAGGTCCTGGAGAGCTCTGTGTTCCTCCTTCAAACCACACTAATCTAATTATTTTTTGGATCTTCCAGAAAATGCCCTCAAAACAACAGAATCACAGTACAGTAGTCTGGATGAGGAGTAGAACATTAGGTCTTGTACACATCTACTGTTTACAAAGAAACACAGAGGTATTCAGCTGTTATTTTGGTTTAGTCTTCTCTGATAAGAACGTATGTGTTCCATCAAGAAATTATAAAAAGCAGGAAGAAGGAGCAGGATTGAAGCTTGAAAGCGACAGAAACATGGTTGGGAAATACCTGTTTGGATCATTTAAATCATCAGGGTCTTGTGAACCGCATCCCAGGATACTGAAGAAATTAACTGTTTTGAGATATTCTGGAAAACTAGTGAAATGCCAGATGATTTGAAGGAAACTACAGCTCAATCTGACACCAGCATCTAGGAAGTTTCTACAGAACAAATGCAATTTATAAAAAAACAGTATGGTAATTACCAGAAGTCAGCATGAGTATGTCTTACCAGACTCAACTTCTTTGATCAGATAACTTAATAGCTTGTGGGAATGCTACAGATAAAATATATTTTGATTTCAGCAAAGTATCTGACAAAGTGCCCATAATATTCTAATTAGCATGCTAGCTATATGTAAGTTGGACAGCATGACAATCAAGTACAAACAAGATCAAATCCCAGAAGATCCTGGATCTTCTACTCTCTTAATATTTGAAGATATTCAGGGAATGCTTATCAAATCTGCAACTGACAAAACTGGGTGGAATATGTAATGCCCCAGAAGACAGAAATAAATTTCAAAGCTGTCTGGATATGTTGGCAACACAGGATGAAAACAAAAGGATGAAATTTAACAGATGCAAATGTAATATTCTTCACTAAGGAAACAACATTCAAACACACCAGATGGAGGAAACCTTGGAATAGCAGTTGGCCATAAACTGAATACAAATAAGCAGTGTGAAGCAGCTGCATAAAAAGCAAAAGCAACATTATGCTGCATCAACAAAACTAGTTTCCAAATCACAGGAAAGAATTATTCCACTTTATTCTGCTTTGACCAGACCCCACCACAAGTAGCATGTCTGGTTCTGGGTACCACTCTAATAAGGATTCAGAGAAAAGCAATGTAAATTTTAGGGGATTATCAACTAAGTCATCTGAAGAGAGACAGAAGGACCTAGGACTGAGAGGAGACAATTGAGGGGAAACACAGTAACATTCTCCTTGAAATAATGACTCTTCAAAGAATGGAAAGATCAGGTCATTGTCACTCCAAGGTACAGGACACAAAATGCTCTAAGTTATAGGAAGGCAGATTAGTAATTTAATGTTAGGAAAAATATCTAATTGTAAGCATAGTCTGACAGTGGGACCTATGACCAATAACAACTTAGAGTTCAAGTTGATTATGGTCATTGAACAATATTTTATACAAATCTATAATTATAAAGCACCAAAGAACCATAACAAAAAGTAAAATAGATGTATGAAGTACATAAAAAGAGTCCTTAAGTACTACATTAAGAACCTTCAAAATATTAGTATGTTAACAATAACTTTATAAATCATAACCTCCCAGAAAATCAGAACTGACAGTGAGCTTCCATAAAATTGAAAAAAAAAGAGGGAGAGAAAATTTGTGTAACTAGTAAAAATTCAAAGGAATCAGTCTCCACTTTGAGCTCAATCAGTAATTCTGTTAATTAAAAATAGATAAAAATAAGAGTGATTCTCAGTGAGTTTACCCATGCCTAGTACCTTTAATTATCTGTTTCCAGATTTGAATTGCTACCATGAAAAATCTAGCAATATTATGTGTAACAAAGTTTATTTGTTTATTAAATTGATTTATATAGCTGCTCATCTCAGTACATGACTCTGGGCAGCTCACAACATTAAAATAAATAAAAATATATACAAATACAAAACAAAATAAAAAATAAAACACAGCAACCAGAGAATCATCAACAGCCATCAGCATAGCCAGGCTCTGTCACACACCTGGGGCCCAGGCTCAAGCACAGAACCAAATCTTCAAGGGCCTGTGGAAGGACAGCAGGCTTGGGGACAACCTAATCTCTGGAGGGATGACATTCCAGAGTGCAGGTGCCACGGCAGAAAAATCTCTCCTACAGGGCCCTGCCAGCCAACACTCCTTGGCCGATGGTACCCACATTATGCGCCTCCTGCCGGATCAGATAGGACAAGTAGAGACAATTAGGAAGAGATGGTCCTGGAAGTAACCCAGCCCTAAGCCATGTAGGGCTTTAAATTGCACCCAGAAGCAAACTGACAGCCAATGCAGCTCACATAGCAATGGTGTCACCTGTGCCAAATAACCAGTGACACTAACTGCCCACATGGCTGCATTTTGCTCTAGCTGAAGCTTCTGAATGTTATTCCAGGGCAGCCTCACATAAGAGTGCATTATAGTAATCCAACTGGGAGGTCAGAAGCAGGTGCAACATGAAGCTGTGCAAAGGCCCTCCTAGTCACAGCTGTCACCTACCCTTTGCCGTGGGTCCTAGAAGACCCCCAGACTGCACACTGGCTGTGTCTGAAGCAGTGTCATCCCATCCAGGACCAAGGAACCAAGAGGTCCAAAAACCAAAAGCCATTCAGCTTTGCTTGGGTTTTGCTGATGCCTGCTGCACCCTATCCAGGCCCCCACAGCCTCCAGGCACTGAGAGGGAATTTTGGCATCACTCAGAGAGTCTGGGGTGCCTATCAGATATAAAGCTGAGTATCAGCACCATACTGATGAAACCTCAGCCCAAACCGTGCGATGACCTCACCCAGCAGCTTCATGTAGACGTTAAATTGGAGGGGGGAGAGTTCCTCAGAGAAGTTCCTTATTTGAGAAGAGAAAATCCATAATAAAACGTTCATTATGATCTATAAAACATGCTATTAAAGCAAGAACGAGAGTCTCTTGACTAAATAAGGGCAGTGTAAAATTTGCGCTGCACGGACAGTTTCTCACACACTTTGTAAACCTCCTCTGAACAACTGAGGCGCCTATCTCCGAGAAAGGCTTTGTCGAGCTGGAGAGACTAACGGAGTGAAGCATCGGCCAACTCCCGGCTCACCTCCCTTCGGAGCGCTCGTCTCGGAGCCTCTCTCTAAGGATGCGCTTCCACAAGGAGCAGCTGCTCAAGAGGAAGCCACACGGGTACGTTCCCCAGAGACTGGCCCGTCAGTCCTGACGGGCGGCAGCGGCACTGCGGCCCTCCCGAGAGCCGCGCTGGATCCGCATCAAGGCTCTGGAAAGGGTTGCGAAACGCGGCCGCGAGTGACTCGAGCGGCGAGAAGGTCCTCGCAGGCCGGGCTTCGCCGGGAACAGCTCCGGGCTGGCGGGCGGATCGCGCGGGCCGCGGCGGGGCAAGCCTGCAGGCGCAGGGCCTCACCTTGTCGGAGTCGAGGTCCGGGTCGGCCTGGCAGAGGCGGAAGAGGAAGCTCTTGGGGTCCCTGCAGA